CTCAGTGCAGCCAGCCTGGATGCGGAGCGGGGAGACCCTCACCCACGACGGAGGGGAAGCTGAAGGGAGTGAAGTCTCGATGCCAAGCTGCAAACTGGGTCTGCACGTGAAGGCTTTTCCCACCTGGGGCTGCAGAACAGTGGCTGGTGCTTCGTTTCGGCACCCACTAGGAGAGACTTCCCTCTCCCACGGCTCTGGCTGTTGCCCCATCAGCACACACCACCTGGCGATGTCCAGGAGCCCGTGGGCTCGTGCCAGCGTGTCTGACGAGCCGTGCATGTGCAGCTTGTCGTTGGGGTCTCTCTCTTTCCGAGCTGTCCCGCTTTGGAGACCCTGGTTTTCAAGGAGCAGGAGTGGAGAACATGAAGGTCAATCCTTAAGGCAGGACAGTCTGGAGTGAGTTTTCCAGCTCCCCCACCGCCTCCTTTCACAGCTCCTCCTCACACGCTCTTCTCTCAGTCAGGATCTTTCAGCTGCTGCAGACTTGTAGTTTATTCTTCAGATGAAATCTCTGCTCATCGGGGCACAAACGGTGTCACGGGGGATCCTGCCCCCCGCTCCTGTTCAGGCATGCCAGCTCAAGCTGCTGGAAGAGGTTTGAATACCAAATAGCGTTGATTATTTAATAATAAAGAGAGTTCTAATTCTTTTGCCGATGTCGCCTGAGGGTTTTTCCATAAATTTCACACCTTCCCTAGCCTTTGAACACATTCCATCCTCCCTACCACCACTCTCTTCACCTGCCTTTTTTAATTTGTGGGGGTTTTTTTGTCTTCTTTCTAACCCTACATGAGTGCCTTTGCTCCCTGTAAACGCTGTCCCCGGGAGAGGCAGCCCAGCGGATGCGTTTGAATGTGCAGCCTCAGGAAAAGTGTCGTTCTCCGGCTTTGCCGAGCAGCAGCAGCCCGGTGGCACGTTGTTTCGCGCCGGGAACGGTGGCGACGCGTTGTTCTTGTTTTCAAACCGTACCCGTTCGTACGCCTGTACTTCGGAAGCGCCCCGTGCCGCGTTCCGCCTCTGCGCCGGGGCTTTCCAAAGCAGCCCTGCCCGTGGCAAATCAGGGCTTTAAGCACGATACAAAATTTGAATAAAGCAACAGTCAGAAGCATTCCATTAAAAATACACACACACACCCCCCCTTTTCCTTTTGCATGGAAAGCTCTGGAGAGCTTTAACAGCTGGAAAGAGATCAGAGGTCTGCATTTTCACATGGAAGGGTTGGGGGGGTGGTTTTTGCTAGTTATTTGAAAGAAAAAAAGAGATGCAGTTGGCCTAAAAACTCCAGCCGTGGCACAGGGAAGCTGTTCTCGTGACAGCCGTGAGTCTCAGTGGGTCAGTTTTACGTAAACACCGTGTACCCCGGGAGGGCCTGGAACTTTAATCACTACTACAAAAAAAACTTACTCAGTGTGGAACTAAGCTGCACAAAGCACACCTCCCAGCGACAGTCTTCAGAAAACCAGCGCTGACTCCTAAAAACACGCAGGCAGGAACACGTGCGAGCCCTGCGCTCGC